TGTCTCGAGAGAAGATAAACTATGAAATGTCTTTCTCGAAATTAATAAATAATTCTAAAAAAAATTCTCTAAGTCTGTATCTTAAACGAGATGGGATATTTATTATCCTCTTCTAAGAGAGAATCCTGACTCTTTACATTTTCGAAATAAAACTCGGACAAACTACAAAGAAACTGAAACATGATTCAAAGATTCAAAGCTTCAATCGCGACAAATTTAAAATCGATATTTCCATCAAGCGTTGTTCAGTCAACGACAGACACATGCATTGGCATTGAACGAGAACTGAGCTTGTGCAATTTACTGCAATATTGCTGTTCGAAATCAATGCTAAGACCTTGCACTCCACGTGCATGCGTATATTATTATAGCATGCACGTGCGCATCCGAAGATTGTGAAACAAGGGGACGGGGAGGCTAAGAACATGTCTCCGATTAGATTACGTTATCATGTGTATTTTTAATATTCAAGCTTTTTTCCAACTTTTAAATCTTCTTGTATATCCTGCGTTACACACATATTATTCATTCCGTAAATCTCTTTTCTACCTTCTTCGAGAAAAAAATAAGAAAATAGCGATGGAAAAATGAACAAAATCACGCAAAAATTATATTCCATTAAAATCACACGAAATCACAATAAATTAGCGATAAAATGATTTTAGCGATTTTCTTAAAAAGAATAATTTAACAAAAGACGATTCTTCTTACAAAAAAAATTTCCCTCGATAGTAATAAATAATTGAAATACATATTAAATAAAATTCATATAAAATAGTTTTAATAAAAATATATTTATTAGATATACATTTTAGGTATATTATTTAGGTATATTTAGGTTTTAGATATATTTAAATTTTAGAAACTCGAAGATTTGAAAAAAAACAGGTTTAGGAGAATTGTGAAAGGAATTAAAAGAAAGGATAAAGTCGGCAACACAAGAAAAAGAAATAATGAGGAAAAAATGCTATGAGAAAAGAAAAGAAAACTAATTCTTATTGTTGCAGAAAAATCGAAGATAATAAAAAATGAAGGGGAAAGAAAAGAGAACAATGGCTGTGGAATGAAATAGAAATAGAAGAAGTCGGTCACTCTAACAAGTATTTAGATCGTATGTTGCAAAGAAATAATAGAAAGACATGTTAAAGAAACGGTTAAAAAAAGTTGTGTATGCCATGAAGCAGGTATGAGGAATAGGACAAAGGAAATTTGCAAGAGGTTTTCGGAGAAGGATCTGAATGTACGTAGTATTTTAATGTTACGGAGCAAATATTTGGAGATAAAAGGAATGGTGACTAGAAAGGTACACCAGAATAGATATATAAAATAGATTAACTAGGATTAAACTAGGTCACTCCAAGTTATATTGCTAAGAAAAAAACAAAAAGATAACTTTTAAGAAGACAGATAAAAAAGCTGTTAGTTTTAAAGAAATTAGGGAGAAATCGAACAATAAGATAGAATTTTTAAGGAAATAGAAAAAAGTAGAGAAGCTCAAACAAATGGGAAATAGACAGAAAAATGTATTTTCGAAGAAATGGAATGTCCGGAATAGGAATTAAAAGATTAAAAAAAAAAGGTTTCGAAATATTACAGAAGGTAAGTGAAAGCGATGTAAAGAATAAAAACAAGCCTAACATTAAAATAGGAATACCAGAATATTTAACAAAACAAGGTCAGAAAGATTTTTAAAAGATTAAAGCGAGATTTAAATGTGGAAACGAAGAATTCCGGAATAAATTTTGGCGTGAACAGAAGAAGAAACTGTGTAGCATATATCAGAAGGAAACATTAAAGCATTTAGCAACAAATTACAGAAAATACGAGAAATAATAAAAAAATGAATCAAATTTTAGGAGCAAAGAAAGAAAAAATTAGTTGGATGAAGAAAATTCGAAGGTTAAGAAAAGAGAATAAAATCAAAGAAATTATTAAAAACAATCTAGAAGTAATTAAAATTATTTAGAATAAGAAACAATATTGTATATTATAAAGTCTGCAATGCATATTTTATGTTCAATGCCAAAAGGCAAGAAATAAATAAATATATCTACCTATCTATTAGGCGTATATTTTAGATATATTATTTAGATATATTTTAGGTATTAATTTTTAGGTATTAATTTTTAAGTATTAATTTTTAGGTACATATATATTTATATGGTAAAATTAAATCAATGGAAAATTGTTAAGACTGGGAATCGAAAATTAATTCCTTTTACGAGTGATATCTGGTACAGCTGCTATGAAAGCATCGATTCGCGCAACCGCTAAAAGTGCATCTTTAGCAAAGTTCGCTATCTCCTCCTTCTTCTTCTCTCTCTCTTTCTCTCTCTTTGTGAATTTCCCTAAGTCAGCTCAAGAGAATAAGGTCGAGGTGCTTCAACCTCGTCCATTCCGGTGCACCGGGCGATCCATTCAGTTTACAGGTCGGCGAACTTACTCGATGTTAAGGAGGGATAAGCCCCCTAATTAAGAACGCCGATAAAGTCCAACGCGAACTTTTGCGAACTATCGATTACGACGATTGATTTTAATATCGCGCGAATGACGCCGATCAGATGAACTATGTCGGAACAAGTGCTGTTTATTAGTTTTTAATCCTCTGAACAGCAAAGTACTGAAATGCTCGACAATATTAGCTCTTTATTTTATTTTATTTGAATATAAATTAATTAAGGAACTGAATATTAATATTAAGAAATTGAATGTCTCAAAATTATTTGACGAATGCATCCGAGGATATTGTTATTTTCATTTTATTTGAATGTAAATTAATTAATAAACCGAATATTTTAATATTGATAATATTTCAATATTTAGAATATTTTAGAATATTGCATAATATATTATTTATAATAATTAGATTAGATAGAATTTATAATATTATTTTAATTTAAGAATATTTTAATATTTAATATTAAAAAATTAAATGTCAAAATTACGCGATCGATTTTTTGATGATACGTCATTAATAATTAAATATTATTAATGTTTTTAATAATTAATTAAATTTTTAATAGAAAGACTTGACTCTAAATTTATCTGAAAATACTCCTTCGGGTTTTGTATCAATTTAAAAATATTTTAATAATAATTAAGATATTAAATGTAAGATAAAACACTGCTTGTAGCGTTTTTAAAGGTATACTTGGTACGTTCGGATGCAAGATTGAATGGAACGGCGCGTGTTGCTTAAGGGTAGATAAATCAAGCAAACGACTTCACACGACAATACGTCATCCTGCTCGCCGCAGGAGTTGGACGAGGACGAGGACTCCATCGTTCTCGCCATAATAAAAATGTTTAAGATCCGGGGATTTCCGCGAGGCAGCGCGAGGGAAAAGTTATAGCTATCGGATTTTCTTGGCGAACGCAGACCGGAAAACGCGGGAAAAGTCGCGATATTTTCTCCCGCGCGGCAAATGAAAAAAAAATCCGCTAAAATCTCCTATAAAAATATTGCTAGTTATATACATATGTATAAAAGTTACACATACAGGACTGTACAATGTATATATGTATAATAAATTTATTATACAAATATTGTTATATCGAGAGCTCTGCTTTTTTTTATCACTCCATTTTCCACAGCGATGAAAGAGCGACGAATTTAATTCATTCGTTATAAAGTGCCAATATTGGAATATACGACGTTATCTATACATTATTCCTTCCATCTCGTGTTTTATACATTTAACATGCCCTTTCAACGAAGAATACAGTCTCTTTGGCAAAGAAGAGAGAACGAATTTGCCCCCCTTTCCTACCAAAAGTTCAAACGAAAAATTGAGATTATTATAACTCGCACACATTAAAAAATTGCACAGTTAATAAAGAGCGTAACAACGACAAAAAGTAGAGTAATTAATAATTTTATATTTCCATTTATGTTGCTAAATCTCTGTAATTTATACAAAATACATATACACATCTATAAAATTTTATATAATGCATGCAATATATTTATTTCATCACACTTTTGACCTGTTTTTACAAATATATAATCTATTATTCTGTAAATATCTATTATATACGCAACTTAGATCCTTCCCAAGTTTCAGCCTCGCGATTCGGAGTGTGATTTATTATTGTTTCGAGACAAGCCGACAAGCTCGATCGTTTTTCGTCGATCGTTTTTCACGTACATAAGTTAAGAAACGGTCGTGTATTTTCGCGTGTACGTTTCTTTCATCCGTAAGAAACGGAAACCGAGACTCGCGGAACGTGGAAAAGGGCAAACGAGTTTCCTTCATAGAAAGGAGGGGAGAGGGGTTCGCTCTCACCTCGCGGAATACAACTTTGCGGACGATCGCGGCGTCTCGTCGCTCCACTTTCTAACGGAGCATCGTTTACGCGCCCGCTATAAGCTTCATTTAGAGCGATAACGATATCTAAATATGTTGCACGCATTTTGTGAAAGTTACAACACAATGATACGTTCTCCCGCGCTTTCTATAGAAATTCTCCGAGGACCGATATCGAATAAAGAAGCGTGAAAACGCTTCAAAATAAAATATCGACCAGTCAATATACAGGGTGTCCCAAACTTAACGAATCAGTCGTCAAAGGTAGATTTCTGAGATCATTTGGAGACGAAAATTTCAATACTAAAATGTTAAGAAAGGAACTTCATAAAAATGTCTAAATTACTATCGTATGGAAAACACAATCGCGCTCACTGCAGAATCCTATTTTTTACTTCACATTCATCCCTCTATCGATATCGATATTATCGCGCTGTACGCGGATATCTTGATGCGCTATATCCTCGAGCATAAGAGTACGTAACGCCCCGATTGGTAATCTTTAATCTTTTATAGCTCCGAAACTACATCTTCGTCAACATTTCGGTATTAAGATTTTCGTTTCGAAAGGCTTTCAGGAATCTACCAATCACGGCTGATTCGTTAAGTCCGGGACACCCTGTATAATTTTCTTATAAAATATAGAATTATGAAAAAGATATATAAAAAATAAAAGCTGAGGGGAGTACTCACCAGACGACGCCGAAGGCCCCGTAACCGATGGGTCGGTCCGGCTGGACGGGATCCTGGGCAGGCGGCGGGGGCGGGGGTGCGGGCGCCGCGGGGTGGTAGTAAGTGGGGGGCGCCGCCTGGGCCGCGGCCGCGGCGGCGGCGGCGGCGGCGAGGACCGCCTGGCCCGGATGGGCCCCGGCGGCGGCGGCACCGGCGCCGCCGCCGCCGGCGCCGGTCGCCCCCGCCCCGCCGCCCTGCATCAGCGGTATGGACACGCTCATGGACACCCGCGAGTGCCGGCTGGGCCCGACCACTGCCATCAAAGCACTTGCTGGCCCGGCCACCCCCTCCCCCACTTCACGGCCCCCTCGTCCCTTCGATGAAGCGAGCCACCGTTATCGTTTGAGCCGCGTTCCGATCGACGATACCGATGATCGAGCGATATCACGCGATCGGCATAATTTCCTTCCTCCTTTCTCTCTCCCTCTCTTTCTTCCTTCCCTCGCCTCGTCCAAGGAGAGGACCGTCCGCTACCTATGCTGCTTCTTCTCTTCTCGTTCGCTCGTCCTCGAATCAGCTGTGCGCGCGGAAAACGGCGTCCTTTATCGTGCGATAAGCGATGACGTATCTCCCCGTTGACAAGGGCACCCTTATTGTCACCGTGCCTGTTCGATCTCTAATCCCACGTTCGAGCCCCTCCGACTGTGCCCTCGATAATATACGTGTATATGTATATATATAGATAGATAGATAGATAGATACGTCACGTCCGATATCACGAACGCGACAGCGAACGGCACTTAGCGCGCTTAGCGACACTTAGGTTATGTTTGACGCACGCATGCATGCATGCACGCACGCACGCACGTACGTACGTACGTAAGTACGCATACGCGCACACACGTACACACACATCCACCGTTGCACTATATGTACATACTCCAATCACGGCCCGCCCCACCACTCTCTCCGTCTCGTCGCGCGTCCGTCAATTGCACTCGGCGGCGGGCCTCATAACCGCGTTAACGGGGGCTGCTCCCTGGGGAGGATACGAGATCAGGGATAGGCGACGAAGCGATGGGAAGCAGCGCTCGTTCCTAGGGGATAACGCGAGGAAACGTGGAGCCGCGACCGCAGTTGCAGACACAATCACCACGACGCCTCCGACGTCGACGAGTCCACCGCTATGTTCGTGCCAATGCACGGAACGATATTCTCTCTCTCGATGGGTCACGCACGCACGCACGCACGGCCCCGCCACCGCCACCGTGCGCGGTATCGCCTCCTCGCGGAGCAAAAAAACTCGTAAGCACAGAAGCACGGAGCACCAGGTACACACGCGAGGAACGTTCTCGCCGAGTTGACGACACGCGCGATACACGCCGCGGGACCGAGTGACAGATAGCCGAGAGACGGATAAAACAGAGAGGGAGGGAGAAAGAGAAAGAGAGAGAGAGACACACACATACACACAGATAGACAGAGAGGGAGGGGAAAAAAAAAGGAGAGTCTTTCGCGTAGCCGCGACGGGAGATCGAGCCGCGCTCCGCCGACGATGCGCACGTCTGCTCGCAGTCAAGGCTTGCTGGCCACTGATGACCGCCAGGCCGCGTCGCTCTACGCCACTGCGTCCCGCAGCGCCGGGCACAAAGGCGGTCACGTGACCGGCGCGCGCCTGCGCGGTCCCTCGCGCGCGATATTTCGAATCTCTTCGTCGACCTCCACGCTCTCTTGATTTTTTAAATCATGCTTTTTCATTAGATGCCAGCATTTCAGATACTAGCAACTAATAAAATAGCATCGTATTTTAAAATGTCAGTAACTAACACGCTTGCCAAGTTAAGATATTTTTGTAATTTTATTAATTGCTAACGCACTAGCACAGCCTAATAATTAATAAAAGAAGCATCGTGTAAATTACATTTTAGATGAGATAGGAAAAAGGGTAAGGTGTCGTTTTATTTTAAATTTTTGTATTGAAGCTACAGTTGCGAATATTCTTATAGCGAAGCTCTTCTTCTTTCTTAGATCTCATTTTTATTCTAATAGCACATGCGCGGAATGAAAGTGTTATTTCGCGCAGTAACATGATTGTATTAGAATAGCGCGAAATTAAACAATCACTTTTTAAATTATTTAATCGATTCACAATACGAGACTCATTATATGATCTAAAGATTTTTTTTTCCTAATCTCTCCTTATTGTAACTTTATATTAAATATTATAACGTTAAAAAAATATGATTTTTTTCTTATAGAGTACATAATTGAAATAAATTAATACAATTGTATAATTATTAAAAGCATATCGTATATTAAAATATTCATAACTTTTTTCTTTTCTTTCAAATTCATTCTAGATATGGCGCTAAATGAGATATTTAAACTAATAAAAAAATAATAGAATATAATCTGTTATAAAATATCTTCGATTTTTATTAATTTTAAAGAAATTATCATCCTTAACAGCTATAAGGTTTTTTAAACTTTTTTTGCGGCAACAATATTCGATTTCCTTTCATGCGATGAGGGAAGGTGGTATGCAATGAAAGAATGCAACATCAACGTAACACGAACAACTTTTGCGACGTGTGTATATATTTCCACGATTGTTATCAATCTTCATCGTACGAAATTAGCGGATTTTTCTCTCTATTTCTCTCTCATTCTTATACAGCATCTCCCCTATCTTCTTACAGAATCTTAATAATTTACCATCAATTATAAACGAACGTGTGCAACGACCGTTGCATAATCGAAACGAGCGATTTACACAATGCCTTCGTCTTCGTTTACTTTGCAATTGTAAGAGAAGCTCACGTCCCAATTATCGTCACATCGCAAGAATCAACTTCATAAACGCACGTAATTTATTGCGAGACGGAGATAAAAATTCGCCTTACAATCGCGAGCTTCTCGCTCGATACATCAATCTTACGCTTTTACTTATACATTAGTAGCCGTTCCTTAAACTTATTATTCCTATGAGTATATCCATAAACCAGAATATTTTCTCTGGTTTAATAAATACACGCAACCGCCAATTCTGTGCCCATACAAAATCTTTAGGACTGAATATTATATAATAATCATTAGCATCATACCAACGAACGCGTATATCGATATGATATATAAATATTACACAAATACATAATAAAGCTTAATTAAATTATACATGCTTTCGGAAGCAATAAATATTACATAAATACAAGATTAAAATTACATTATGTATTGCACGTTCGATCAAAATCAGTAATATTATAAATGTTTACTACAATGAAATAATCTTTACACATTACCATTAAAATTATATATTTCACACAATTTAATTCTCGAAGAATAATTATTCAACATTTGTTTCAATAACGTGTATTTTTAATGTGTTCTCGATTGTGTGAGCGCAGATTCGCGGGCTTATAACACGCGCCGAATCACGTAGGAAAATATGTAAAGATCACATCTCGAATCATTCGCCTTTATCTTTGGTCTGTCATCGAATTCCTTCGTCATTATTTCTCGCATTATCATCTATTAATCTATTAGAAGAACGCTCATCCCTCTCTTCCGAAATATACGATAAAATAACAATGTTACATAGACTTTGTTTTTCATGCTTTATTTACTCGGGATACCGTAGTCCTCTTGTGCCCTTTTCTTTATTTTAAAAAATTGCGAATATTTCGCACGTATTTATGATGATTACGGCAAATTCTGGATTTTAATATAATCGAAAATTTATGTCGCGATCGAAATTCTCGAAACTCGAAAGTACAAAGTACTTATTTTAAATTTTAATTGAACAAGATAAAATCGTTTAAATAATTGAGCTCATTGTTTCCTCATAGATAACAATTATCACGGTAAACATATAAAAATTTAATAAGAGAAAATTTTAAAATCGTAAATGTATAAATTTTATTCTTTAAATTTACAATTCTAAAGTTTATCTAGCTGTTCTAAATTAAATTCTAACGTTTAATTTTTTTATTAAAATTTCTTTTCATTTATCTATCAATACAATAAAATTTAAAAGAGAAGAAATGTATTATCTCAAAATTTAAAAAAAGACATACTTTTCTTTTATCCTCTGTGATTTTTCAACACGGATGTTCGAAGGATTCTTTTTTTCTTATCAATTTCTATTCCGCACAAAGTATGATGAGATTTCTGTCATAATCTCCTTCGATCGGAATAAAAACTCTAGGATTTTTTTATTCGTGAGCGCCCGTGGGAATTACACTTTTAAATCGTGCTAAATTGTAATTCGATGGCACGCCGCGCCAAATAGTCCGTACAAAAATCTTGAGAAAATAGCTTTTAAAATAGATGATGGTCTCCTCTGCTCGGCTTTTTTTCTTTCTCCTTAATGGAAGAAACTTTTAGAAACTTGCAAGTCGTTCTTTTTGATTACTCACGGACACTCGTTTCGTACACATGTTGATTCGTCGACAGAACATCCCTTAGGGGAAGTTCCTTTATTGATGCAGGAGTGACGAATCTTTCAAAAATGTACATCAAAATATGTTCAATTGGATCAATAAGCAGAAGACAAGTTTTTTGAAATTTTTGTAGATATTGACAAAAAGAATCGTCCATACAATATAAACCAGAAATGCCTAATGTATTTATTTTATATTATTTTCACTAAAGAAACTTTTATTGAAAGTCTACTTCTCTGAATAAATCCTAGATAAAAAAAGTGTCGTTAAAAAAGTAATACAGAGTGTAAAAATTTGTCGGTTGAATTTCCGAACACCCTGTATATGAAGAATGAGATACCCTGTGTGTTTATATGTATACGTCTTTTTTATATATTATTTAAACACTCAAAAACATGCTCATGCTTGCGACTGAGAACTCATATAATTTGGATAAACTTGTTTTTATTTTAAATGTTTCTTTATAAATTCTAAAATTTATTAGAGTTTATTAGAATTTAGTTTACTAGAAAAAGTGACAATAAATGATTAAATATAAATAAAATGTATTTTATAATTTTATAAAATATCACATTTTTGAGGTCACAATTGATATAGATAAGTTCTTTCTCGACTTACTGATTCAATTTTGCTCAGTTAGATGCCTCTTAATCAATGGAATAATTCATGATAAATGTTATTCTTTTAACGTGTGCAAATTTATAAAAATAAATTTAAATGTTCATCACTCCTGATCTTAATGTAATGATGATCAACGATTCTATCCATTAACAAGCGTACGATTATCTCAGCGATAATTAAGCTCATGAGGTACAACGTATTTCGCATTGGTAATTTATGCCTACATATATGTACCGCGAGAACGAACATTGTGAATGTAGATTTCACCCTAAAATACTTAGCTCTCATCAAGGATTCATTTAAATATATACGTATGCGCCTAACAATTATCTCTCATTATTATGTATTCTTATATTGTACATTTTCTCATGTTTACGATATCCCAGCCATATCGACTTCCGAACAACAATATCGTCTTTGGATCACGATGCTTTTGAGTGACCTTTCTTAAACTTAACATCGTCTGAAAATCAGTATTTAAATCGACGACGCATTTAATCAGTCTGTAAATTATGCATCAAATAGGGATAAGGGAGCAGTTTAGGCACCACTCGACATCACTTTATACAAAATCGGTTTTTTTGAGGTATCGTATCAATCAACTTTTCGAACCTTGCGGAATGATTCACGCATGTCCGATCATCAATCAAAATTCAACTCGTTTAAAAAATACGCATGATATTTCGATAAATTCGTTCACTTTTCCACATCTCAAGGATAAAGTTGTTACAACCGGTAGGACTTAGGAAAGTTCGAAACCAGTATTGCTGGTAACGGCATAGCGCAGCTTCTCTCGTAGAGTGCTTTTCTTTTGATAATTTGGCAGTTTGAGCAGGTTGAAACATGTGGACGAGGTCGGCAGTCGATTCTGCGGGTCCTTTTTGCGAATTGTGAAGAAACCTCTGATCACGCTGCCTAGTTTGTGAGAATTAAAAAAAAATTAAAGTTTTTAAAAAGAGACATTTGAAATATAATCCAGAAACTGGAGACTGATAATTTTTCTATAAAATTAAAATTTCGAAAAACTTTTATTTAAAAAATTGATCACTCATTTCAGAGCTGATAATTACAAAAAGATTTCTATGAAATCTGGAAATATATAAAACTTTTAAAGAGTTTGAAATCACATATTATAGATGTCAATCATGTATTGAAATCATATATGTCAAAGAGTTTGCAACTCTTTCTTTCTCTCTTTTATTTCCCTAACAATAAAATCTAAATAAATGATGCACAATCGAATGTTCTCAATTGTGAAATATAAAATCAAAAGAATTTAAAAAGCGAAATTTAAAATCTCTCCAATTTCTCGATATTATAATTGTTTATGAAAAAAGTTATGGTTTTTTTTTTCGAAATTATTTATAATATAATGTACCAATTGTGTCGCCAGTGTCCTCATCGTCGCAGACTTCTACGCATCTTATGGAGAAAGGTGGCTCTAAATGAGCGAAACCCAGCAAAGGTGACTTTGAGCAACTCGTCACGAACTATCATAAATATAATTATTATTGTTAGAAAAATATTATTAGCGCTTACTATATCTAATCAAGATATTAGAAAAGATACATCATCTCACAAAAAATCATTAGAATTATTAATTAGAAAACTGTTAGTTGAATTTATTTGGTACTGTGTTCGAAGAAACCTTTAGAAACAAGCCTCTTTCTTCTTCTGTAAAATCCTTTTCCAAGATGTCCCATAGCCAACACACTACTCGATGACTGTCGTGAAATCCGCCATAGTATTGCGTATGCCTTCGTAAATCTCGCAAATCCAAGGGGACATTATCGCCCGAAATCAATCTCTGTAACTGTAAAACCATTAATTATACATAATTAAGTATATAATTACATATTTAATGATATAATATATATACAACAAAATTAATTTGTTTCATTTTCTTTCATTTTCTTTCCATATTTTATTTCTTTTAAATAATCTAGAGCTTAAATTCTAACTTTCAAATAGTCATTTAAATAATATAAATCTTTTTATTATTTATTATTTAATCATTAAAGTTATACATTCAACTATAAACAAATCCAATTTACATTTAAATTATAATGACTGTGCATAGAGTTGAATTGTTTCTCTGCTTAATTTCGTCAACATAATCATATATTGTGTTGCAAATAAATGAAAATGTACTTTCAGATCCTTACCTCGGGCGTCGAAAACAATGACAGCCACTCGGGATTAATGATCGAGCGGAATCCTTTGATGAAGGCGGTCGTTTGCTCCTTGATCTGATGATACATTCTATAGTGCGCCATGTGATGAATGTACTGAATCTTATTCTGATTGGTTACAGCGGTAGTGCGTCCGCCAGGGATCAACTCGTGCGTGACCAGTTTGCCGAGCACGTCCTCATCCAGCGAGAACGTCAACTCCAGCTGCCGGATATCGCCCTTGTAATGTTTCACCAAGGTCAGACTGCGGTAAAGATCGCGATCCAGCGAGGCGAGCTCGTCAAGCCAGCTGTACAGGGCGCCGCCCGTTTGTCCGGAAAATTGCGAGACAAAGAATGACGCGAAAGGCACATCCACGACGATGCCCTGAAAAACGACGATCGAGAAAAATTATTTGAAATTTTGTTTCTCTTTTCTTTCTTTCTCTGATACATTATATAATCCAAGTTATGAAATTATGACAATAATAGATAATATTAATAATAGATAATATTATGGGCCAATAATAGATAATATTTCTAAAGATATATAATTAAGATAAAATATAAAACTACATTGATCTTTATACGAAAAATATTCTCTCGATACATTAATTAATTATTTAATATTTTATTAATTGCAATAAAAAAAACCTGAAAAAATATATTAATGATCAATCTAGTCGATTATAGATATTATAGGAAAACAATTTACCTCGTAAACTGCTTTGCCAAGCATCCGTCCGACAAACTCAAAGAGTTGCAAGTGATTGTCCTGCATGAAAGATGTGGGAGACGGATAGAGCCGGTTTTCGCTGGTAGCTCTGAACAAATTCAAGGACGGATCAAACACTCGCTTTATTGTCTCTTCCAGGAACTCCTTGAAGACTCCATCCTGATCGATTCCAGCCTCGGCCAGACCTTGCTCGTTTACGAAACGTACTCTAATTACGCCTTTCAACGCTTGTGATGGCAACATGGCCAATTGTCTGTATCCGTCCTCTACTATACGTGTTCTGTAAAATAAAAAAAATAATATATCAAATAAGTAATTGAGTGTAATTTAAGAGAATGATATTGTGTGTGCGAAGAATCGTTTCTACATTGAAGAAATGATTTTTTTTGTAAGCATATGATTTCTGACAAAAATTCGATCAGACTAAAAATCTCCTAATCTTTAAAAATATTTTTATACCATAAAGACATCAAAAAAGACCTGTGTACAACAATAACCGTAGTCGGTGGACTATTACAAGCACTCTCGGTCAAACCCATCACTGCTTTCTCATCGGCTATGTGCTTGCGAAATAATACAACTCGCTCGGAATGGGGAATGACATGGGGCATCTTTGAGAGTAAAAGTGCCGCGCCGCGTCGACCTTTCTCCAAATCAGCCAAAAACCCGGACACTCGTACTTCCTATTTTTAGAAAAGAAATACGCAATTATAATATTTCTTCCCATCATTGTTTTAAAATTATGTGACACAAAAGTTACTTATATTTAAAGTAAGTCAAGATACTTAACTTTGCCAACCAGTGACCTTCCGGACAGAACGTTCTACGACAATCGCGTCGATAGATCGCCATTAGGAGGATGTAAAGCGAGATGAACAGGGGATTGCTAGACACCGATTTCACATCTAAAAACATTTAAAATTTTAGAGTTTGCTAATATGATATATAATTTTCGCATTTTAATCGCAAAAGTCTTTCCATTTTTCTTTTAATAATTAATATGGAAGAGTTTGTTTTCGAATATTGAGTCAAATTAAATCAAACATATATCATTCTATATTAAAAACTTTTTTTACTGAATAAAATTATTGAATTAAATTTATATAAAATTATAAATATTTACAAAATCAATTAATAAATAAATTTGAATAAAAAAGGAGAAATCAAGTAATTAAACATTTTATAGCTTTTTTTTATCTTTACAACTTTTGAGATTGAAAGACACAAGAAAATATTGACTTGCTGATTCACTAGAAATGATAGAAATCTTACCGAATAAATTAGTAAGAACTGCTTTGTACAAGAATTGATTTAAGAAATACGACATGGTAATGAAATCCGTGAGCTTGAAGGGATCTTGCTGCTCGTACATCTCCATGTCATCGAGAATTCTGAAGTTAGAAACATTGAAAAATTCTAAATCTAATCAGAGCAGCATCTAATTAAATTCTTGGAAAAAATTCTCGCAATCACTTACGTAACATAATGCGTCATACAGTCGGCGTACAATATCAACATCTGGAATTCAGGTGCCGTGCATTTAGTATTGGCAGCCAAGAGATCTAGAAATGCCTTTAGCCCACAGTGAGGTCCCAGTGTGGTCAGAAATAACCACATGTGGTAAAGAATTTTACCTTGGTAACAGAGTCCTGTTTTCGTGTGCGTACATACTATTAATCAAAACGTCATTCGCACGTACGATTGTACGCAATGATTCATGATACATACCAGTCAATATTTCAATCTTCATCTGCGTGAGCGTGTGCAATGCAGTTTGGTATAATGAACAAATCAAGGCTATCTTAGTGGCATCCGGACTGCCCAGTTTTCTATAATTCTTAGTGCTGTTGTTTCTGTTGGTGCGAGCTTCCAGGAATGCACGCCGAAAAATATTGGCGCCCAGGGAAGAGGTACTTTGCTGCTCTACCGGAGGTGGTACTTCTTTCTCGACAAATTCAGTCAGTGGCTGCTCTGAAGAGAGAGCAAAAAGTAGGTAGAGAACAAATGTAAATAAAAACTCATACACATACTAAATAATATAATAATATTTGTGCAATATAATAATTGTGATGCAGATTAAATAGATAATTATATTATATGTTGTATATAAAATAATATAATTCATGATTCAGATACTGTAAATTTAAATAATTTTTTGCAATGAAAATATCAGAGCTCTAAAATTAATAACTCTCACCAATTAAATGTGTAACGATCCTGCCACTCCAGAGGCAGGCTAGTTGTAATTTTACTGAAGGGGTTGCGTCCTGCAACGAGGTATCAATCGTCTGTGCAAACCAGCCTAACACGGGATGCCAATGAGTCAAATTACTTCGTTTCGCGACTACGTATTGTTGACATGCTTCTAGCATCCTTGTCACAACAAACTGTGTAAAAGATTCGTAAAGTATATCATAAATCGGAATATCAATACCGCATAATGTTAAAATAAATTACCGTGAAAGAAGGAAAACAGAGTTCTCTCAATACTTCTTCTCTTTCAATGTTCGCCAGTTGTATCAAATTAGCAAGTAAACAAAGTGCATAACTGCCTTCTAAAGCGTTAAAGACGATCCTTAAATTCTGTTCGGAATTTAGCAACTCTAAACTTCTTGCAAATAGATTATATGTTATGAATGATGAAATGCACTGTAAATATATCAAAAATTTAACAAAATTAAATTGAAGGAAAAATATAATGTAATATAAAGCTGAAAAATAGTTTTTTTTTCTCTTTTACCTCTGGTGATAAAATATTCAAGTGATACACCAGAGCTGGCACACTAAAGATGTTAATTAGAAACAGAGACACCAATTTGTCAGACATCTGTGAAGAGATCAATGGTCTCAGTGTTAAAGTGACTGCTGCTGAAAATGTAACTGGTTTCAAAGCGATTTTTGCTCTACCCAGTCCCTTCATTAACAGAGCCTGAAATATAAAAATAAAGTCATTTGGAATTGTTAAAGGAACACTCAAAATGCTCTCTCATCCTTCCGTTATCATTGTTACCTGCATAGTGCCATAAAATCCATTATTAACTAAATGTCCCATTATGTTTGCACATAGCTGACTCATGCCAGTTTTCAACTGTTCCATGCCCTTTACTTTTTGTATGGCCCATGTTCCTGGTGATGTAAAGCTTACCAAGGTATGCAATCGCAACAATATAGATTTGTGGTCTGATACTCTTTCTGGCTTCAAACTGTCCAAGCCAGATAGGCAGTGGTATAGAACTGTCTTCATTTGCGATATCCATGATATGTAGTGATCTTTGTTGAACGCTACTCCGACGTAGGATATCTTTGGAGATTCGGAATCGAGCGTCAACACGAGGTATCTAAAAGATTGTTTTGATTAAATCATACTCTAAATTTTTTTGAAAACATGCACTATATATACTCACCTACATACTCTTTCTATTCTCTCTTGATCCCTTTCTTTCTTATAAATTAACAAAAATCTAGAAATAATTCTGTATACCTCAAGAGCAGGTATTAACTCCACTGTTGTACTGTCAGTACCAGCATCATCGAGAAAATTGTTATCAAATTCTTCTCTAGAAATTAAAAGAGCAATGTCATAATTCTGTAAAGTTTACAAGGAATATTTTATGATAATGATTCATTTTTCATACTAATCTGAATAATTAAATTCTTGCAACAGGTATAAATTTAATTCAAATTGATTTATTGAAACAGTAAATTAAAGAAGAAAATAATGCACTTCAATATAAATAAAATATTATTAAAATATTTTTGAATAAAATAATATAAAATCTCAAAGTAAAACAAAGCCTTTGTTTGGAATTTTATTAATCTGATAATTTTATCAATAGTATCTATCAACATCTGTTTACGTTGCACAAAGATAATTACACAATTTTTATATAGAAATTATATAGAAATAATTATATAAAAATTATCCACACAATATTAATCAAGATCATATGATAATCTATATAATACAATTTTTGCAATAAATATGTAATGTATAAATTTATTTTTTAAATTTATATTTTATATACATTTATCAAAAAATCCTAAAATGAATTTTCTATAAATATATAAACAGCTGTAAATTATATTAAGAAAACATCTTTTCTACAATAACATTTGCAAGGAGAATCCAATATATAATTCCTTCTGAAATACCCTCTATGTAGCACAGTAATTCGATTTAATCCTTATCTTAATCCTTTGTTTGAAATTCTGTTAATCAGACTGACTGTCAACGATCTTTATTTACACCCAGAGATACACAAGCTCTTCTTTGTATGTAAACACTGGCTTACACACACATTCATTCAATCACACACATACTTGTTACTCTCGCGAAACCACTTTGTACAGATAAATCCCGCCTTCATCGTCGCTTCGCACTTACAATATCCGTTTGGTGAACCGGACGCGTGCCAACCAACCCCGAATATGGGCCTGGATAAGGGTAGCCGCGGCCTCCCTGCGCTTCTCGTGAGCTCGATCCTCGCGCGCGGCCTTCTTTTGCTGCAGGAAGCTGCCCTTCGACGACGAGCTGCCCTCCGCGCAGAACATCCTTGAATCTTTGATCGCCTCTCACCCCCGTAGGGCCCGAACAACCCTCCGGACACCTACGTTTCTCCTCGTCGTCGTCGTCGTCGTCTTCGTTCACTGCTAACTACGAGACATCTTCGAGGCATCCTCGTCAGCTGACGGATATCTACCGAGTCCCCCCTCCCTCTCTCTGCTCCTCAACCAAGGTTCATGTCACTTGACAGTGCCGACTCTAGAGATATGTGGCGCCCTTTTCGCGGAAAACATCTGATATATTTTCTTCTTTGAGGTATCTAGTCAGCTGGTAAATATTTATATAAATTCTTCCTCTTTTAGTAAAAAATTACTCTCACTAATAACAAATTAAAAGATTTAAAAGTTCCACGTCGATTTAGGTAAATTAGAAATTAGAGAATTAAATAATTGTACAACAGTTTTTGATAAAAATTTTTTTCCTGCAACATGGGTATAATTATAATCTAAAAAGAGAGAAAATCTTGATAAAATTATATTTATACAATTCATTTGCATAAAATATGTGTAATAATTAAAGTATAAATAATAATTTGTAAATATAAAATCCTTATATATATATATATATATATATATATATATATATATATATTTGTTGCAAATAGATTTTATAAATTTATTATTTTACAACAAAGAAACTTAGGTGTTTTCTAAAGCATAGAATTTTTACATCATTTTTATATAAAGTTTTTTTTTATAAAAGATTAAAGTTTATGAAAAATATGTACATATTTTTTATGTGTATCATTCTATAAAATTTATTTTTTTATTAAAAAAACCACACAAAGTACCACTGTTTACCATACTGTTTTAGCGCTTTATAAAAAAGGCTGGTTTTTTCTTGTAAAATAATAAATTTATAAAACTTATTTGCAACAAATAAACGTAAAATTTTATATTTACAAATTATTATAATTATTAATTTATTTATATTATATTAATTGTATTAATATTTATATTAATTATATCAATTATTACATATATTAATTATTATTATTATTATTCAATTATTATCATAACAATTATTATATTAATTATTATTATTCAATTACTTATATCAATTACATTTAAAATTATATAAATTATTATATTATTTTAATTGTGTCATTTTTTTTATTTGTATCTCACGTTCATGGGAGGGACTGAAAAATCTAGTCGTACCCAATCTACATATTTTTACTCCTCGTTCGATCGCTCGAAATTCCCAGTCGTCGCGCCTCTCACGATCCCTACGTCAATGCTCGCGATTCGAGTTATCGCCAATGATGGGAGGCCGAGTGACTTTTTCGCGCATGCGCAGTAGTAATCACAGGAAAGCAACGGTGTATCAGATAGCGGATTATGGGCGCTAAAGTTTTGGCGGGCAAGCTGAGGTCGGTGATGCCAGGAAGAAGTCCTGAGTCCCGAGTGAATATATAGTGTTTTAAAGTACAGCGAGAAAAGTGATTAGTGAAATGAAAGTGTGCTGTTGGTCGTTCGTAAAAATTTTTCAAAAATTTTCTTTCAGAAATTTATTTAAGGGCGACCAGTGACACACCTTTTGCTTCTACTAGATACTTCGTTAACGCCGCGTTCGCGGCGCATGCGCGAAAAAGTCACCCGGCCCACCATCATTGGTTATCGCGCATCTGCCGCGTATTGCGTATCGTATCCCTTATCCCCGTCGCGTCCCGCGAGCACCATCAGTTGCTCCAATGTCCAGTATCAGTGTGCGCGTTGACGCGCGTGTGTACAACGTCGTGACAAGAGGCGGTCGCTGATTTTTCGAGGGCAGCGCATTTCGAGCTTACGCGAGGTCGCGCGAAATTTCGCGAGAAAATTAAGCCCGGGAGCGGAGGAGAGGCGGATCCGCCGTCGTCGTCGTCGCCGACGTCGACGACGACGCGGGAACGTCGACTGTGGGAAGAGTCGAAAATGTTCCCACGCTCCCGCTGCGCTGCGAGTGTATGTCGCGCGTGCGTGTGAAATTCCACAGGGTGGGAACGTGGTGGCGGTGCGGCGGCGGGGGGGGGAGGAGAGGATGAGCGCTCAGGGGCAGGAGCACGGACACGCGGTGGTCGTGTGGGAGTGGGAGAACCGTCACGGACGATGGAGGCCGTATAGCCCAGCTGTGTCGCAGCATCTCGAACGAGCCCATTACAAGAAGCTTACCCGGGTGTTCCTCAACGACGCGGATCCGACCCTCGACAGGTCGGGATGAGCGATAAATGATCGTCTTGCACTCTAATTGCGATGCCTCGCACGCATATTTTTGCATTTTTCCAGGTGAAACAGGTGTATGTTTGGGTCTTGGGGAGAGAGAAAGAGAAAGCGACGAATGTGTGTGTGTGATCTTATTCAATGTCGAATTGATCTTGATCATTTATTGATTGATTGCTCATCGATTATTCAGCTTGACTTGCTCCAAAATTATTTTATTGGGACAAAGTTTTTTTTTTATGTAGGCATACATATAAATACCTGTTATTTATTTACAGTTATATTTAATAGAAGAGAAAGAGAGACAGAGAGAGAGAAATCATACTGTTGCTGAATTAAATAAAGTTACAGAAATTTAAATTTATATCCTTATCTTAAAAGAAGAAACAATAAAGATATTAAGCATAATAAGGATATTAAGTATAATAAAGGATATTAAGTATAATAAAGGATGTATAATGTTTTTTTGATTAATATAATTTTATTGATGCAATAATAATTTATTATTGCAATAATTTATTATTGCATATTAATGTAATTAGTAGCAATTTTTAATAATATTAATTATCAAAATCTAGTATAATAAAATAATAGTTAAACCATTCCATAATATTCAACTTTTGATCTTTAAAATAATGCATATGATTTGCATGAAAATTAGGTATTACATAAATTTGAGAACCAAGACACAATGCAGCGACGACGGCGACGAGACGTACAATGTAAGGAGAAAGTTTTATTTACCGGGTTCATTGGCTGGCAAAGGCGCCAAGTGGGAATGGGCAGGTGATTCGGATGATTGGCATACTTACGATATGGAAGTTCAATGCCTTGTAGAAGAAGCATGGGCGAGAGTAAGCAAAAAAGCATCATAAAATAAATAATATTATAAAATATTATATTCTTAAAATATTATATTCTTAACTGAAATTCTTTTCCAGGGTGACAAGACTATTGATATTTCAAAGACTTACTTGGGTTTTCCCTACATCATCAACTTTTGCAATTTGACACAAGTGAGATGCTGCACAGGCTATGTAAGGCCAATAAGACGCATACAGCAAGCACCTTATCCACTGGTCAAAGTTGCACTCGAGGAACTGCAAGTCACTTCTGGGAAGAGATCAGCGTCAGTTACAGTCAAGAGTTCCACTGTCAAGGTTACGCATAAGAAGTCGCCTAACGGAAGTACAAAGAAGAGCAACAAGAAAGTGAGCTCCGTCTTATTGCAATATTATATCTATGCTGAAATAATGTTACAATGAAATTCAGCTTTAAAATTATTTTCAGAACAAAAGCGGGGACACTAACGGGCCGACGAATATCGCGCGCGTTATTCTCAGCAATTTCAATATATTTAGCAGCAAACATGGCATCGAGAACAATCCCGCGGCAACAAACATAGAGTCCGGTCAGAAGCGAAAGACGTGGGACGCGGTGTTGGATGTCGATTCCAGTAGCACCAAGAGTGGTCGCAGGCCTAGCGTAGATACCGTCTCTACGTATTTAAGTCATGAGAATCCAATAGATTTGCTAGATAGCAGCGTGGGAAGCGATGACGCTTTCAAGGATTCTATTCTTGGTACATGTTTAAAAATTTCTGTACATATCTATATTAACCCCAACAATAATTTAATAGTTATATAAATAGTTATGTATAAATTTATACGTTTAATAAATGGTAGTTTGTTTATACATTTTTCTGTGAATTTAAATTTATATATTTTCAAAAATCCTGGAATCAAACCTAATAAATTAATATACTAATTTCGCAGGGATGGACATCACAACGGACGTGATATCTCGTTACGTGAAAGTGGTTGAAAGCGATGGATCCGATTCCTGTCCTGTGTGTCTTGGCACTCCGGAACCGTTGACAGTTGAACTAACGCGATGTAGGCATAGATTACACTTGGCATGTCTAAATGCGATGCTTGGTTGCCAACAGCCGCCCATGTACATACAGTGTCCGGTTTGCCGTATGATTTACGGCGAAAAGAGAGGCAATCAGCCACCGGGGACGATGAACTGGACGCGAATACCGCGAGCACTACCAGGTTTTCCAAACACCAATACCATACAAATTACTTATGAGTAAGTATCAGAGAAAGAATTAATCGTGAAAATTTATAAATTAAGTTTCTAATAGATTATAAATATTCTCAATTATTATATAAATATAGTCTAATTAAAATAATTTATATTTGAGTCAATATGCGGGGAATAAAAAAAATTAATCAGTTAAATTAAGACTTAAACTGAATATTAATTTTTATCAATTTTAATCTTAATCTTTTCAGCATTCCATCCGGAATTCAGGGTAACGAGCACCCGAACCCTGGTCAGGCATATTACGCCGTGGGTTTTCCTCGAGTGTGCTATTTGCCAGATAACAATCTTGGCCGTCGAGTATTGAGACTATTGCAAATCGCATTTGAACGCAGGCTAATCTTCACAATCGGTCGATCGATCACCACTGGTCGTGAAGATGTCGTTACGTGGAACGAAATCCATCATAAGACCGAGTTAGGCCCATCCACATCCGGTCACGGTTATCCCGATCAGAGTTACCTCGAAAGGACACTTGCGGAATTGGCAGCGCAAGGTGTGACCGATGGACAATCATCACCGATATATCAACAGTTGCATTAATTGCATATATAAATAGACAGTATTTATGCGACAATAAGTTAATCTATAAAGGTAATAACAAAAAAGAAATTCAATTTTTTAAATTAGACGTAAAAAAATATATATTAAAATTAATTTTGAGATTAAAAATTATTAAAAATATTAATATATACAAAGACATATGATTATGAAGATTTTGAAATTTATTAATAAACTAAATAAATTTATTATATTAATTTTATAGAATTAAGAAGAATTGTTTAAAATAAACTTAAAACTTCAGAATTTTTTTGCACTATTAACTTATTTTTTTTAATTTTATGGATTGACTTATTTTTGCATAATATACATATATATTTTTTTTCTATAAAAGTATATAAAAGTTTCAGTGAAGATACATTAAATATACATATATATTTTTTTTCTATAAAAGTATATAAAACTACTATATATATATAGTATATATATATAGTATACTATATATATGTAGTAGTATATAAAACTACTATATATATATATATATATATATATATCTTCCGAAGAAAAGTATTTTATCGCAATTAAGATGGGAGAAATCGCATCGAATAAAGGTATTGAATTTATTTTATAAGTAGTTTTATATACTTCTATAGAAAAAAAATATATATGTATATTTAATGTATCTTCCCTGAAACTTGCCAAGAATTAATATTTTATCATATCTTTTAAGCAATAATTCGAAAGATGCAATTGTAATGCAATGATAAAACGATAATAGAGATTTATAGAATAATATTCTTTTATATTTACTTAAATTATATTTCAATTAGAAACTAACTTAATCCTTGAAAAAGATAAAAAGATTAAAACATTGGTAATCAAAATGTATAAAGGTTGTATTGATATTATAAATTGATATATAAGTTTGGATACTTTTTATATATTTGGTGTATCTATTTTTTTTACTTTTTTAGGATTGTTATTATTATAAATTCTATGTTTATTAAATGAAATGGCAAGTTATATTAACTACATTCCAAATTATATATTTATAACTTCTTTATAAAATAAAACAAATTTATGTTTTATTCCTGAAAATTTTAATATAAATTTAATATAAATGATATATTTTAATTATATATCATTACAACAATATATCTTGTATGTTAATATTATATATCAATAATTCTCTGATAGAATCTCAATAGCGATCGATTAAAATATTAAATTAATAATTTGGTATTATATATATATTACAATAATGAAAATAAGATATCTCTATTTCATGGAGATCCTATTATTTCTAACAAATATTTAAAACATCTAAATAAATTATTATGGTAAAATATTTTTAAAAATCGCGACTTTTTGAGATGATAAATTTGTGGAGCATATAGCGTGCGTTAGATGGCGTATCTTTCAACACAATTAAAATGGCCGAAAATTGATTTTTTGTCGCGTCTCCTGGACATGATTATGCTTGTGAAACGAGTTGTTTTTTTACAAACAAATGGAATTTTAACATAACAATAAGAGCAACAACTATGGATCCGTTAAACTTTATGCTGAATGACAATTCATTATAATTTGTTTCGAATTTTGGTGATTCGCGCGTTTCGTGATCTGACGTTTCTTTGGATTTCTCCAATGTTTTCCTCATTTTTATGGATTTAAACGTGTCATAAATGAGTACTGAAGGCCAGCATAACTGCGTTCTGTGCAACTCCAAGTTGGGATCCAAGCAGGCACTGCAGGAACATTTTAGGTACATTTGGTTATCATAACCAAGTTGATTTGCTTAATCGGTTATCAGAGTCGATTAATTATTTTATTACGTTATCACATCATAAGCACAGAATTCTAAAGATTTTTTGGAGAATATGTCATAGCTAACAAATAGTATAAATGATTCAATTCTTCGAGTCAAAACATTAGACAAAAAGCATACACAATACACACACATTCACCTATACATATCATGTTGCCTGATATCGATAAAGTTCAAAATTCATATTATAAAAAAAAAGGAAATATATGTTGATTAGATAATATTATTATTTGGAAATTAATTAGAAATGAATAAAAATATATGAATGTAATTAAATAAAATTATTTATCACGGAAAAAATTTTAATTTTATATGCTATATACAGATATAAAAGAGAATTAAACGAATGATATGTGATTAAGAATATGTACAATAAATAAATTTTATATTATCTATTATATCTTGTATAGGAAACATGCGAATAAAGAAATAGATACACGAGGGAGACCTGTAAAAAGCTGCAAAAATGCTGACACTCAATGCGACATATGTGATAAATCATTTGATACAATAACTGCAACAATAAGACACAGATTTAAGATGCATCCTAATTCACCGACCAAATTTTATTGTTCTTATTGCGGAAAACAATTTCCTTTACGGGTAAATAATTTAATTTTTCTTTGTCTCTTTTTATAATTTTTACAATAATTTTACAAAAATTCTATTGTTTAGACTCATAGGGATAATCATCAAATTTCACATGACTCTTCTGAAAGTAAGAAGATAGAGCAACACAAGAAATGTATGGATTGCGATATGTTGTTTTACAATGAAAGAGCTCTAAATTACCATTATCGTTCTATTCACAAAAGGTAATGATTTATTAGTTAGTCTACCTTGATCTTGGGAAAATACAATTATTATTATTATGCATTTATTAATTGATTATTTATCACATTTTGCAGAATGGTATATTTGTTTCAACCTATAGCCACTCCTCCGCCTAGCAATAAAATCAAATTAAACTCTATGAATGATGCACTGAGTGTATATTATTGCCATTTGTGTGGCGCTGAATATGTTATAAAGTTCAATTTACAACAGCATCTAGAGAAAGCACATACTCGAGTAAGCAGAATAAATCGTAATAAATAATAAAAAATTTTTATCATTTATTTTTTTAAATATATACAAAAACAGAATAAAAACGATAATTTTGGGGTGTTCTATATAGAGACTGACATATTTTCTTATAATGTGCATTGCAGAAGGAAAGAGATACTATGCCGGATGATTTGATCAAGTGTACAGTATGCTCGGCATTGTTTTACAACAAAAAGGCCTACAATGTTCACAATTCTTATCATCAGCCTAATGATTTATATGTAACTTCTGAACAGCAGAGAGTGCAGACAGTGACCAAAGTCGATCAGGACTTCGACATTAGGAGAGTAGAAGCTGTAGCTGATAAATATATACCGCGACCTAAAAGACCACTCAATAAACACCAAACAAAGGTAAAGCTTAGTCTCAATTTTATTTTTCTGCTTAAGCAGCAATATTTATATTTAATACAATATTAAATAATATACTAAATATATTAATATACTAATATATTACATAAGAGAAATATTTCAAGTAATTTAACGTATATATAATAGAATGTACATAGATGTAATTAAATTAAAAATAATATAATTTACATATGATATAGTATATAATTTATGTAATATAAATTTAGCTAAATAAAATGCGGAAGACAGAAACAGAGGACACAAAGAGCGAGAGCTCTTCGGATGATCCTACAGGCACCAACGAATCTAGTGATTCCGAGAGCGATATTCCGCTGCAACAAAGAATCGCCAGCTAACAGAAATTTTCTCTCTAATCATAAAAGGTTTTCTATCCACTTTCGACGAAACTTTGTTATAAAAATTTTATGAAAATTAATGCAATCATAATAGTATCAAGCTAATTTGTGTGTGTTTTTTTTTTATAAATGTTATGCATATATGCGTGTTAGAGATTTAGATGTGACTGTAGAAGGACAAATTTGTAATCACATTTCTCAGATCGCGTTCAGGAAGTACGATAGCTACAATTGATTACGATTAATTATGACAATTTACTAATTACATATAATCTTTGCGTAACAATTTTATATATATCATACAAATATCTTTTTATATATTAATATATAACTTACATGTCATGCATATATCCTGGACGTGATTTAGTTTTTTTTTATCTCTATTACAGCAACACTGAGTTTTATTATAAGTAGAAACCCTTTACATTTCATTTGCTTTTATCTGTCCAGATTATGAACGATTTATATCTCAGAAAATTGATTATGAACGATTTATATCTCAGAAATTGATTATGAACGATTTATATCTCAGAAAATTTTGTGTAAAAAAAAAATATATATATATATATGCATACATAAATTGAAGCCGTGATTCGATTCCCGATTAAACGATTTCATCATTTTCAAAGGTCGCGCTTTCCAACCCCAGTCTCGGCAACCTATCATCGGGGAATTCCCTAGATCCTCTAGAATCTTGAGACGCGCCACGTTGGCGACTTCCGCTGCGACGTACGGAAGAGATGCGGCGGCCATTTTGGACTGTCGGTGTTTTCGCGTATGTGTGCGTGTGTACAGTGCGTAACTACCGAGATCCGTATACTTGCTAGTCGAAGCGATAGCATCGTTAAGGGCGTCCCGCCGATTGATCAAGAAGTCACTCCGATAATCCGGCGAGAGGATGGGACGCAAGAAGAAGAAGCAGTCGAGACCCTGGTGTTGGTATCCTTTTTGTTTCATCGGGGAAGACGACGACAACGATGGGTCGCCAACAGTCACTTTTACGTAACCGTATTTTTAGCTCCGCGACCTTAGCTACGCGATCGTGCGAGCGGAAATCGATCGATTGACAGTGATTTGGATAGCTGGTGATACGATTCGCTCGGGGAAGTTGCGGAAAATTCCCCCTGTCCGTGGAAGGCAGGGAAATCGATACGCGATTTCCTCGCGCCACTGCGACATGCGTGTGTGTTTGCATGTGTGTGTGTATGTGTGTTTATGTATATGTATGTAGAAACAGCGCAGCTGTTTTCCCACCGTCATTGCGTATATACATATACATGTGGCGCATATTACACGATGATGTAACGAAAGTTGCCGTCGAGAGGCTTCCGTACACGAAGGCGGATGAATCCAAAGGGATTGAGATTTGGAATCTGTTCAGTGAAAATCATGAGTAATTCTCAAACCAGGCATTTCGTTTTTTTAAATACATGCAAGTCAGCATTAAGAAATTTATTTTCTTACATTCCTTGCTTATCCATGAAATTTTATATGAATTATTCAAGATTAATATCACAAAATAGGTTCTACTGATTCTGTTCGATTCATCTATTTTTCTTCAAATTTAGAATCCTTATATTTATTATAATTCATTCAACATTCTCATTGTTTAGAAATAATTTTATATGGGTCATCATAAAAGAATTCTCACATCAATTTTTCATAGTTCCAATCACTTGACATGAAAATGTCTAAATAAATAGGCAATTAGATAGCTAATTAAATAAGTACTTTTTTAATTAGTTGTGAGAATTCCTTTGTAATGATTCATATAAAATTATTTTTAAACAATGAGAATGTTGAATAAACTATAATAAATGTAAGGATTCTATAAAGAATTAGATGAATCAAACAGAATCAATAGAATCTATTTTGTGATATTAATCTTGAATAATCTGTATAAAATTTTATGATAAGAATGAGAAGTGTAAAAAAATTAATTTTTTTATACTGACTTTTGTATGCATTTAATCTATAAAAAAACTATGAATTGAATAAAGACTTCTTACATGAGAAGTTGCATTCAGAGAGATAATTTACAATTTGTTTTGAGTCAAGTCAAGAATTGATTTTGAAATTATTTATCTATTTGTTTATTTAAATTATAAATAATAATTAGAAATTTGAAGAGGAAATACACATATACATATATAAATATAGTATATATTTTTTAAATTACTTTATAAACATAAAGAAACTCTTTGAAGCAGAATTTTGATTTTAAAAATTTAAAAAAAAATTCATTTTTGTAATACAAATGTTAATTTTTTTAATCTATTCTTTTAATGTTACATACTTCTATTTTTCTATAATAAACCATATAATATTTCCTTTCAGGTCATTTATAATATTGCTCTTATACATTTGATAGATTTGATTTAATATACATAACTATTGCATAAAAAATTTTTTAAAAATTTCCTATGATTTCCTTAATCCACTTTTCAAAAGGTATTGCAATCGCGAATTTGAAGATGAGAAGATTCTCATTCAACATCAGAAGGCAAAGCACTTCAAATGTCATATCTGTCATAAGAAATTATATACGGGACCAGGGCTTAGTATACATTGTATGCAGGTAAATATAATTATATATTACATCATTTGCACTATCTATTCTTTATAATGCATTTTCTATACTCTTTTTTTTTTGTCTAAAATGTTTAATTAATAATTATTTATTTCATTTTAATTTCAAGAAAAGAATAATTACAAAGAACAAATTTTATGTCCCATCTATTTAACATCATTTTAAGATTGATTCTTTTCTTTGCAGGTTCATAAAGAAGCAATAGATAAAGTACCCAATTCATTGCCAAATCGTAGCAATATCGAGATAGAGATTTATGGAATGGAAGGTATACCGCCAAATGACGCAAAGGAACATGAAAGGCAGCGAAATGGCGGCAGGCCAGGTACACCATCGTCCGGTGAAGACGAACCTGTACAGAAGAAGGCGAAACCGGAAGGTCTATTGGGTTCTGCACCGGGCGCGATGTCCGGTATGGGAACTGGATTACCCGGAATGCCCCCACAACCCGGGATGCCTCCACAACCTGGTATGCCACCATTACCTGGTATGGCGCCGCATCACGGCATGGCACCACATCCTGGTATGCCTCCGCATCCCGGTATGCCTCCTATGCATCCTATGATGTCGATGGGCCACGTGGGACCTCCGTTCATGGGTCCAGGGTATGCTTCCCGATTAAAAGAAATTTTATTGTGAAATAAAATAACTATATTAATTTTTTATTAATTAATCTCTTTATTTATCAATATCTAATTTAATTTAAACTTTTTTTATTCAATTTATTTTTCTTTTCTAGCATGATGCCTGGCATGTCAGGCATGCCTTCTGGTATGCAACCACCAGTTTCGGGTGCATCGATTCCGCCGTCGCGTCCGCTGTTCCCAAGCGCTGCTGTTTCGACGTCGGCGGCATCGACGGTTGCGTCGGTCAGCGGTTCCGCACCTCTGGGCACTGACTTTAAACCGATCACATCTGTGGCCAGCGGTGGCAGTTCTATAGGGCCGGTAAAGCCGACATTCCCCGCTTATAGCAGTGCCGGCGAAGCCGGTGTTTCTGTAGCCGGAAACAATCTTGCCGGCGGCGATCAAAAAGTTAATCTTATCGCAACTACCGGAGCCGCTAGTAAAATCATTCACCCTCCGGAGGATCTCAGTTTAGTAAGTTTATATATCTTGACTTTTATTTCCAATTATATGAATTCTGTTTTCCTAATTCTAATCTATATCATTGATTTTAAAATACATATGCTAGACTCTTCTTTATCTTTTCATCTTGTTTTATCTCTGCATTTTTAATTTCGAAAGATTTTTTAAGATGATGCAAAGCAATTTTTAAATGAATGATTTGTTTTGAAGGAGGAAATTAGAGCAAGGCTACCTAAGTATCAACGTCGACAGACTGATGAGTCTGGGCGATCGGCGCAATCGGAAGCAGCGGCGGCCGCGGTTGCGGTAGCGGCTGCAGCAGCGGCAGCGGCAAACCAACAGCAGCAAGCCGCCGCGTTGCAACAAGCGGCAGCGCAGCAGCAGCAAGCAGTGCAGCAACAACAACAACAAGTGCAGCAACAGCAGCAGCAGGCGGCTGCTGCAAACGCGGCGGCCGCGTTTCAGGCGGATCAACAGCAGCGACAGCAACAGGCGGCAGCGTTAAACGCATTGCAACAACAACAGCAAAGGTTCCCGCGGCCACCGCAGGCAGTCATGGTGCCGGCTTCAGCGGCAGCGATGCCGGTCAGTTCGGTGGCGTTGATGGCGCCCCTAATGCGACCCACCATGACTCTAGCGCCTGCTCTCATTCATGGAGGTAACATGATGCGACCGCCCCCCATGGGCCTGCCGCCAGGTAAGTCTCTGCGGGTTTAAGATCTGCGAACAATTTTACTCCCTTCCGCCCTCTTTCGAACAAAGCTGCCGTATTGTCTTTTTTATTCCCTCTTATCGTTGAAATTTCGAAATTTTCCCCTTAGTACTTTTTATCAATTTTTTCAACCGCTCTCCCCTTCTACCAGCCGTTGCAGACGGTAACAGTTAATCGGTGTACGTAAATAATTGTATCGATGGTTCAATTTTTTTTATCGCGAAACTTTGAATAAGGTATTTTGAATAGTCTTGTGCTGCTTTCCGTTTTGGAAACACTGTAAGAATGTTCTCTCAAATCTTTTTTGCTTCGAGGACATATACATATATCAGTAATATAATAAATATCAATGATTATTTATTCAAATAGAAGAAAAAGCAATATTTCCGATGAAGTATTTATTTTTAATGACAATTCTACATAAATATAAATATTTTTATATCTTACGTAATAAAATCAATTAAATATTTTTCAAGTAATGAGTAATTAAGTCTTCTCTATCATTGAATTATTTTAATCTTATGGATTGCGATTCTATCGGGAATGCGATGTATTGTATCCCTACATTTCGTTTCTGTAAACACGATCCTTACATTGATTATCCTTACCTTCTACTCGGTCGAAAACCGAGGAAAAGTTTTGGAAAGTGCAAATAAAAAATAGACTCGTTAATTAAAGATTAATTTGACATATTTTAGTTTAATTCAGCTCTACATTATAATACAATATTTGCTTCAATTATTCACGATATAACAACTATTTCTATTTTTTGAATATAAAATAATTATATGCTTAGAGAGAGATAAAGACAACGAGTGTGATGGGACAGATAAATAAGAAACAGACTGGACATTTGATGGGGGGAAAGAGATTAAAATGTTGACAACGTGCACGAAATTGCGAATATTACTACTGACTCGAGACAGCAAAGAGAAAGAGAGGCGATAAGAATGTCACATGACTATTCAGATAGAGGTGTAGAGATCTCAAGATTCTCGACCGAATGATACGCCACAGAATCTCGACGACGCAACGTCTTGTAGTCCTTGTGCGTTTATACGTTTTAACGGTGCGTTTGCAGGGCGCCCGGTCACTCCTCGGTGAGTGTCGAACGAACCCAGTCTGGTTACTAAAACCGTGTTTTACAATACAAGCGCTACAAGGTTGGTCCTTAGCAATTAGCATGCGGTGACATGGCCTATATATCTATATACATATATATATCTATATATCTTGTTATATTTATTATTATTATTATTCTTACATTGTTGATTAATCTTGTCATCATTGTCATTAATACACCTACATATGTACGTATGTACGTATATACCTATAATATATATACAACAGCACGAAAACGCTCTTCGAACAGCGATTTAGAAATCGTAGGAATCTGTTCGAATGGCTTTCGCGTGCTATCGTACATATATTTTTGTATATTCGTAATATTATCACTGGACGAGAGTGGGTCGAGCGGCCAATGACACTTTCTTCTGGATTCCAATTTTTTCGTCTAATTTGTCAGAATTTTGTTTTGGACACGCATCCTGACCTGAAAATGTGTTCTCTCTAGAGATTAAAGTAACAAGATTTTTGGTAAAATATATAGAATGTTTTAATCAGTCACTAATACATGAGCGGTCGCTCTCTCTCTCTCTCTTTTCATTGGGATGCATCTACCCTCGCACATTATGCATTTTTAAATTAATGTTATTTTTATCGATACTTGTCGCGTAACGTCTCTTCTCTTCTTTACAATTTCTTAATTTTATACACATTTTTTTTTCTTTATCTTTGTAGACTCTGTACAATTCCTAGTACAATTCATTGACGAGAGAACAAGAGAAAGAGATATTTCCGGCCGCTCGACCGTTACATTATTTTTACATCATGTATGATTTCTTTGTTTCTTTTACGTTCTCATCAGCTTCTTTATTCACACTATCTCGATTTAACCATGTTACTTCTTACGACTCACATACGCCATTATTTACCTCGCCAGCAGCCGTGTTACCATCCTGTCTCTCTTTTCAGTATATTACTTATATATTACTTATATATATATAGCTTGGAATCCTGGTGTTGTGATATAGTAGTAAAGAAATTGCTTCTTTGGGCACGGTACTGACAGTCGTTCGAAGTTGTCGTTCCAAAGAAAAAAAATGTAGAGAAAAGAAAGAAATGATATAATTATGTAACGATAATTATTTTCTCTCGCAATCTGTCCCTTCCTTCTTCGTATTCGATTGGTGATCGAGATAAAGTAATAATATCATTATAATCATATTAAAATTATGCTATAATTTATTCTTCAATGCTAATCAAAATGTCGCGGATCTATCGAGCCACTTTTTTATCTCTCGTTTTCTTAATTAATTCGGAGTCATTTCTCCGTAAAAACTTTAGTAAGAAAATTTCAGTTATTAATTTCAGTTATTATTGTTATTTTAACGGAAATTAGTAGTTGTAGAATTTTTATAAAAATCTGAGATTAAAAGAATTTAAAAAATCTAAGATAAAAAATTATTTGTAAAATAAACGCACATGATAAACAATGTTATTCTTATTTTATACGGAAAAGTTGACTGTCAAGAGCGTACAAATGGAAGGTGGATCGCCAGATCTGAAGTATCGAAACAAAGTATAATAAATAAATAAGATAATGATGGAGTGAAGAGGGAAGGGATCGAATTATATTCTCACCATGCTCTTCGGTGCCTTTTATTTTATTTTATTTTTGTTCTCATGGAAAAAAAACGCGAGAAAACTAGCAACGAGAACGAACGTAACGTATCTCCCTCACACCATAGCCTAGCTTTTGTGTTACACAATCAAAAGATTTTAGATAAATTGAGCCAAACAAAACAGTAAGTAAACGACTTCACGTTACCTAGTATATCTATAATAACTCTTGCGCTCAACCGAGGGTCCGCTCGATTAACACGATATTTTTTCTCTTTATTATGTTACGTGTCACGAATAAGTATCCGCGTAAATATGAAAGAGAGAGCGAGAAAAAGATATCGCTTCTTGTGTTGAGCAATTTGATTTTATCGATTTATTAGCGCGTTTCGGTGCTTTTGAAAGTTTCAAGCCAATTACTTCATGCTCGATTGCAAAACTAAAAGCTATAGAAACGCTATAGAATTTAAGGATCTCTGATATTTGGATCTTTTGACATTTAAACGCGTTTTTGGAGCAACGCGTCTTGGAAGATTGGCCGACAGCTGAGCGATCTCTGCGGGCTTTGCATACGTATTATAATATTATATGATATCGAAAAAAATATAAAATCTATTGCGTGTACCCAAGCGAGACTCGTTCTTTGTATGGTGTGAGGTTTTCTTTGTGTGGTACCACCTTCTTGTCAGTTTTGTTTGTGACTTGTATTGCGTATGCGGCGCACTGCATGCTGAGCTGAATTCTTCGTACATATATATATCTATATATTATATATATACATATATATATATACCTATCGTATCTAGTTTGAAGATTCGCATTTAATCAGAGATTGCTGGGTAGTACGTAGCACGTGAGCAGATTTTGGGCACGTGCCATGGGTATTTAAAGTACTTGAGGAAGAGAGACTAGAGAAAAATTCATCATCTCGATTCTCAAAAAAGCATATTTTGCTTAGAAATCGAAAATTTTCCTTCGATCGACTAATATTTATCTCGATGAGAGACAGATTGCTGAAAAGTGCTCTTTGAGTGGTCGATTGAAGGAAATTAATCAAATAATATCTCGCGAATATCTAATCTAAATTAAAATATATGAATTTCTTTCGGTGCAGTAATCGTTCGGCTGTCAGGTAACTTCTTCTTCGGCGAAACATGAGTCTGAACCATGGCATACTTTAGATCTGAATATTATTGTATCATCGAATCACGAAATATAAGTCGGGATTAAAAAGCTAAATTATATTAAAAAATTTTTAATTTACCATTTTGTGTAATGAATTTTTAACTTATGATTATGTGTATACATTTTTATTTTAAAGAGGAATATTTGATATATTGCTTTTCGTCGGGAATTTTTAATTATATTTTATTCATCAATTCTTACACATATAAAATTTTTAGATCTTAAGAAAAATATGTATATACAAATTATTTATTTTGAGAAATTTTGCATGAGTTTTCCAAGATGCTTTATATTATATATATAAGATTAAATAATATATACTTAAAAATTCTAAAGATAGATTCTTCGAAATTTGCATCCAAAAGAAAATTAAAATATCTCTTGAAAAATTGAAATGTTTCTGAAAATTTATTTGTGATGAAGAATTTAGCTCAACAATGATCTCTAATCGAAAATAATTAGACTTGAGACTTTAAAAGTCTATTTTTAATATCAAATTTTTAATATCAATTTTCTCTTGAAAAGAGCTTCAATTCTTAATTACAATTTTTATTTCATAAACTGTGTAGACCAGAATTATTTCTCTTAAATCATTAGGAATCTTTTGAGATTAAATTCAAGACGCCACGGCAATTTTATGACTTATTTTACGCTGAAGGACATGTGGTCCTCCAAAAGCGACCATAATATAATTCAGTAATAAAAGTTACAAAAAAAAAAAAAAAAAAAAAGATACGAAAGATTAAAATTGCGCATTAACACGACACATACAGGATTTATTTTTTTACCTTGTAACGGAAATAGTTGCGACGTAAGTATATCGGGGACCCTGAATACAATTCAAAGAGAGCGAGAGAGAGAGATCCTATTACGGGGGATTCCATAAATATGACGCCGTCTCGCGCGGCGTCGAGATCGGACAATCAAAAGAACATGTATCTACCGCACGTGGGCGATATACTTTCTTTCTTTTTTCCTCCACAAATACTCGGTCGCGGAACTAACTAATCTGACGCTGCGTTACTTTGCAGGCATGATAGGAGCCATACCACCGGGCGCCGCGATGCATCCGGCTTTCGCCGCCGCGCCGATGGGCTTTCCTGGGCCGATGTTGGCGCCGATGATGCATCCGCGCTTCAGATGATCACCCCCTATGGACGGGCCCAACCCCCCGCCGCTGCACTTCGTGCTGTGGGCCCGCCCCTAATTTTCGTAGGGTCTGGACCTGATTGAGGAAGAGATAGATAAAATCACACATACACGAACCAGAAAGGGAGAGAAAGAGAGATAGGGAGAGAGAGAGAGAGAGAGGAGAGAGAAAGAGAAATAACGAGAGAGAGAGAGAGAGAAAACGGAAAAAATTCACGCGGTAAAATTCGCATCCTGCACTCTCTCACGGTTTTTTTATTTTATTTTATTTTTATTGTTGAATGAAACAAAACGATATAGGGATAGAGAAAGAAAGAAGGAAAGAATGAAAGAGAGAGAGAGAGAGAAACACACGCATGTCATCACGTCATCGGTGCCTGAGAGGATTCTTTCGAAGAAATCGAGTGCGCGCTGGAAACGGTCGGCTTTTTCATCGCCTTCTTCTTCTTTTTATGCTACTACAAAAAAAAACAACTAAAAAAAATACAAACACGAAACACACTAATCGTTTGCATCGACTGCGAATATGTGCGCGCCACGCTACGTTGGTCGTGAGTGCCAGGTGAGCCAACAACCATGAGCAAATTTCATCGCCTTTTCTACGGAATGAAACTAAAATAATACTCGTCGCTCTGTAATAATATATCGTCGTTTGCTCTGCGCGAGAATGCCAGTGCGAACCGACTATCTTATCTATTTTACTTATCCTACGCAGTTTTCTTTTTCGTCGAACAACCATTATATCGCGTTGCTGATATCCACCGAGATTGCGTTTCTCATTCTTGTCGCGACGACAACGTCGTTTGCGGCGCGCAATAACGTTCCTCCCCGCTCCCCTTCCAGAATAGGTCAATCGGGTAATCCGGATTCGATGCAAGATTTGGCTGAATCACTCAATTTGTAAGGATACTTTAAATAAAAATTGTTTTAAATGAATCTTACAAATTATAGAGTTGTCGCCTACTGCAACGAATTCTTCAATTATGACAAAGAGGTAATTATATAATGCAACAGAACAATTTCAGTGATAAAATAATTTCTCTCTCGATAGTTGAGCTTCTAATAACCTTGATTTGATTTTTTTTAATTATATTTATAAAAGTAAAGTAAGCAATAAATATAAATTATAAATATTTTATGTTTATTTTATATTATATTTAATGTCAAATCAAAATTTGATATATCGAAATAAACTCAAAACATTTTTTTTTATAAAATTATACGTTTAATATAATTAAAAAAAATATAATCGTAGAAGAAAAACAAATTATTTTAATTCAAACTCTAGAAAATCTTTAAATTCTGGAAAAATATTTTTAAATATTTTTATATGATAAATAATATTATTATTGATATTAGCTGGCAAGATCTTCGGAGTTTTCTAATTAAATATGTGCGAGCGTATTTTATCATTGAAAAACCTGATATATTTGCCTCCTAATGTCATAAAATCAATGATTGACCCCTGCACTTTTTTCGGGAAGTGATTATACTTTGGACTATGACAAAGTGACCCGCTTAGACAAAGACAGAGATTCCTCTTCTACCCCTTTTCTCGCACAGTAGACCGTTTCCATTATGCTATTCCTCAGCTATTATGCATTTACAATGTTATTTTGGAGAGTGTTTTACGCTGCAGTTGGATGATAATTTAATTGAATAACTGAATTAACTTGATTGAATAGAGTTTTCAAAATGAAGAATCTTGAAATTGTCCGTAATATAAGAAATATTTATTTCGCTACTTGAAGTAAAGATCCAGAACGATCGAAAATGCATAAATCAACAAAAGAAAACTGTCCCACTTATTTTTGTAAAACTTTTGAAAGGATTAAGATTTGTTTTTTTGGTAGATTTTTTTATATTTTTCTAGAAAATTAATCGAGAAAAGTCGTTGATTAAATTTTTTTTAGAAAAAATATAATGATAAGTGAATAATAGGTTTTTTTCGGACAGTGAAACTTTCTCGAAAGATTTGCAGATAAATGACGAATGGGTTTTGCTTAGTTAAATTAATTATCTCATTCTTTTCTTCTTTTTTTACTTACTGAACTAGTTCTATGATTCAAAAGAGAAATCGGGTGAATATATATTTAAAATACACTAGCTGCAGTAGTAAAAATTCGCTCTCTTCTGTCCACAAATTTTATTTTGTTAACTTTCAAAGTCGAGTCGATGCATTTTAGTGATATAAAATCAAGCAAAATCAAGTTATAAAAAGAATTTTTTTTAAAATTATTTTTACGAATTTAAAAATTAGCATTTTGGCAAGAATTAATTATGTTATTAATATTTAAATTAACAGTAATATTTAAATTAATTATAAAAAATGTTCATAAATAAATTCATAAAATTTCAATTTAAAAGTAAAGAAAAATGCAACTAATTTTGTGACCTATTTTGACGGGATAAATTTAAATTTAAAAATATAGCAAAAATATAAAATTAATTTATATATTTAAAGGAAAATTTTAAATTAATTGGAGGAGAGGTTTCTTAAGAATAAATATAACGAGACTAATCGACTCGACTCAAAAAAAGGCCTCTTTTTTTTTTTGCTAGAGGAACAATGTTGGCGATGGTTGAGTAAGTGGTAAGTACAGGGGTGTTCGTGAAATTAAACCAACTTGCCAACTCTTAACTTGTGCCATTTTCTTTATTATGTTTCGCCGATTCTCGCGCCAATCGTAGAGCATCCGATCTCAGAAGATTTTCTATTTCGCGCAACCACTTGTCATTTTTTGAAATCCTTCCTGCTAATTAAGCATTTTGTGGATTGTTAGTAGCATAGATGTCTTGATATGTAACACTGTTGTAATTTGCTCTACGATCGGGCACACTCGGTTTCTTTTTGTCCTCTGCATAAGACGATTTTAACGGACTTTCCCATCTTCAATTTTTGGCACTTCCCGAATTTTTTTTACCTATCTCTGTCCATTTATAACATCTCTGTACCTTCTATCTACTCTACACTACGCTCTTAAATCTCTATTCAGGGTGTCTATTGATAATGTTAATCAGAGACTATATGTTTCTCTATATACATATATATATATATATACTGTGTCTACTATAGTTTCTGTCGTTAGGTCCACCTATAAAACACGCTGTTCCTAGAAGCTAAGATCTCGTTGACTTTGATGTAGTCAATTGAAAGTAATTGTGTGTCATTTTAACGGAGCAGCTAAAGTATCGATTGTATCGTTCATCTATCGATTCGAATTATGTCAGTTAATTTTAACCCTAGTTCTTAGATCATTATTTGTCTCTTTTAGAAACTAGCATAGAACGGGAGAATGATTCCATCGAATTGAGATACAAATTCATTGACATCGGCGAAATCGGCTACGTATCGTTTATTGGTCAGTTTCACCGATGTCGATGAATTTCTCATTTTTAGTTTTCGAGTAGTTGTTTATCTCTTTCCTGAATTTAGAAAGAAAGAGAAGGATCAAGTATCGGAATTAATCGATATTAGGAAAATTCGACGAGACTTGGTTGACTTTCGTTCTAGTTCGATTGATTATGTAAAAAAAAAGAGGACGCGAGAAATCGAATTAGGATTAAAGTTAATGGCAGAGAGATGGGCTCGTGTATATATGATGATATGTTGTTTACGTCGTTATTGTTCGAGGTGTGTGTGGTTAGCGCGGTGACGAAAGGATCGATCGCTTGCTTCCTGTATTGTTATCTTCAGTAGGCACCCTGCTGCTGGTTTCCGTTCTTTCGACCACCACTCTCGCCCGCTACCATCTACCATCCGGTACCACCACCGGACATCTTCTCGACAAACAAAAACACGAAAGAAAAAGAAAAGAGAAAAAAAGAAATGAAAATGAAATGAAAACAGCATTGAAAGAGCGCGCCGTACAACACGTGTACGTACCTACATTAAATGATCTACGCATCGTTATTATAATTCCTTTATTTTTCAGGGGTTGTCTTTCCGAATCTCCCCCGCGAACACTCCGTTGCTTTACTCTCTCGCAAATTACAGCGCCTCGTCTTTCACGTCTCTTCCGGGGGCTCCGAGGATCGTTGACCGCTCAAGGAAACACGAACAAGTAAAAATTATAAAATTATTCAAAAAGAACAATTTTTCTCTTTTTTCAAGTGCCTGATTAGATATAATATTCAAATTCGCGAAATATATATAACTTCGAAAAAAAAAAAAGGAAAAAGATGTGGTCGATCCACCGAAAGAAATCGAACTGGAGCATCGATCGCGCGATTTTTTTTGGGAAAAATTGTAAGATAAAAAATATAAAATCGAGGGTTTTTGTATAACATTTTGAAATTTTGTATTTTCTTTAAAGAATAATTAGGCTAAAGAATTCCATAATTGCGCAATCGAAACTCTGGAAATTTTATCTTTTTTTTTTTATTTATACTCGTGATAAGGGAGAAGCATGTTTCACGCGGAAACCTCGCACTCGGCGATTCGGCAGGACAATCTAACGGCAGAATTTGGAGATGTAGAAGTTCTGTTATTTATTGAGTGTCATATTATCGACTTGTTCCGAATAAAGACGTTCTGTGGAAAGTTCGACAGTTTTGGGCATAGTCTGCTGTTCTGGGATATGTCATCGTAGCGATTTCGCAATAATATTTTTCTCGATTTCATGTTCTCCATGATTAAGTTGATGATCGTCTTACGTATATTTTTATAATTACATAATTCTTGATATGTATACAATTATATGTATTCTTGTATAGATGGATATTTATCTGATTTTCAGAGAAACGGTGCTATTTCATAAATTTGAGCGTTATCACTGAGATTGTATCCCAGAATTGCGGGCGACAGCCACATATTGTTTCAACCAATCACAGCAATCTCATCGCTGTTGGACCTAATCGGTCCCTTGCCTCAAGGCAGGCGATTGTTTGGACCTACCGTCCTGGAGTCGAGGAGTCGCAATCTCCCAATTTTGCTCTCATCCTTAATTGAGACGATGAAAAGGAAAGCGAACAAATTTTCACTTGAGATTTCTAGCTTTCAGTTTTGAAGTCCAAGCGATGACTGGAAAAGGATCACAAAAATCAAAAAATCATGTTGTAAATAAATAAAACTTTATTTTTTAAGAAATTTTATTTTTTTCAGTTAAAATTAATGCCGGAAAATGCATTCGTTTACTTGCCTTAAATTATTAATTATACTATTGATGTATTTTTTTTTATATCGACCGCGTTATATTGTACTTTTTTTTATATTTTTTTATATATTTGTACAAGATGAATAATTTTTTAAATGCATTTTTATAATGAAGTTTCTGTTTAGGCATTTCCTTTCCAGTCAGCGGCTCAAATCTATTCAAGTTTCACATAAGATGGAAGAAAAAGTCTGGGAGTTTGGCGATTCTCGGCTCGGTGGACGCGTGGCTGGACCGAGAAACAATATTAATCATAATAATCGGTTAACGAATCGCGGATAAATCGTATTAACCGATCGATCGTTCGGAACGTCGAAACGAGAGAAGATTGCCAGATGTGTAAAGCGATGCGATTAGCACGTATCTCTCTTCTCGATAAAACGTGATCCTTTCAGAACGCTTTCTGAGATTGCTTGGCTTCTGTAGAGAGAGACACGCATCCCCAATTAACACCAATTAACATTAATTTTATAAATAAATTTATAAAAATACCGAACGCATTCTGCTGTTCGAGGGTTAAAATTACTCCAGTGACTCGGCACAATTATTATA